AGAACATTGAAGAAGTGAGGATCGCACGTGTATATATTCATTCGATCGGAAATAATTATTATGAATTTGTCGAAATAATAACAATAATAATAATTATTATTATTATAAATATTTTTAACTGTAATTATTATTACAATTATTGTTATTGTTATGATCGTAACCAATTACAAGTATGTCTATATAAGCATCATAAGGCTATTAGACATTTAACATAAATTGTTTTTTGATGACAACAAGAATAGCAATTACAACAACAACAACAACAAAAAAAACAAAACAACAACAACAACAAAACAACAACAATAACAATAATAATAATAATTATTATAATAATAATGATAACAATATTAGAATAAAAGTAGTAATATTGATGACGATTTAGTATTCAGAGGATTACTCATCCAAATTGCATTACGAATACAGGTTTGCTTAATTTAAACTACGCTCGCTCTGAAGTCAGTAGTAGTAGTGGTGGTAACTACAACAGCAGCAGCAGCAGTAGTTGTAGTCGTTGATAATTTATTATTGTTATTATTATTATTATTATAAAAAAACTATGAAAATGAAATGGAAAGCATTGAGTTGTTTGTCGTTCGTTATGCCATGCTATGGGCGTCTGTGCCTTGACATTATTATTATTAACATTATTATTATTTTATTTTATGGCTGTTTTTATTATTATTATTATTTATTATCGTTACTATAATTATCATAATTTGTGGTTAACATAGAAGAGTTAGAACTGCGTGCTAGCCTGTCATTCAATAAGAAAATTTGTTTTCACACAATGATTCTTTTATAATAATAACAATGATGATGATGATGATGATGATGATGATGATGAGGAGGAGGAGGAGGAGGAGGATGATGATGAGGATGATGCTGATGATGATATAACAATAATAATAATAATAATAATAATAACATAATTTGAATGGTAGTAGAATACAAACTGATGCAAAAATTATTTTTCGAAAATTTCTCGTTCCCCTCAAACGCTTTTATATCAAGTATTCAAAGATATTTTAACGACCAAACGTTAAAGGAATGTCTTAGTTATATTTTGTATTTCTCTCTCTGTCTCTCTCTCTTTTTCATAAAATGATCTCTTAGTTATGTCTTTTATTTCTCTCTCTCTCTCTCTCTCTCTCTCACTTCGTTATGTCTTTATTTCTCTCTCTCTCTCTCTCTCTTTCTTTCTTTTTTATATTCATAAAATGATGAACAATCAACAGAGTTTAGAGAATAAATAACAACACTAATCCTTTTCCTACTCTAATGTTTATGTAATTTTTGTTATTTCTATTCTTGTTGTTATCATCTGACTATCAGCGTCTAGAAATGCCTCAATGATAAATAAGTGTTTCGGAGATTCATTCGTTCGTTCGTTGTTTCGTTCGTCGTTCGTTCGTTCATTCATTCATTAACTAATTCATTCATTCATTAACTAATTCATTCATCTATCCATCCATTCATGTATGTATGTGCGTGTGTGCAAACATAAATATTTTTATTATTTTTGATTTCATTATTATTATTGTTTATTATTAATCTTATTATTATTATTTTATCCCAACTTGCCTGCACTGTGGAATTCCCATAGTAATAATCATCTCGAGAACAGCTGAAACATTTGACATACTGATCTGAGATACTGAGACAATTAATGGACTCATTAATATTCATGAGCCTACCGGATAACGTCGGCCAATAAGATTTGAGTTTACAGTTTGATATCGGCCAATAGGAGCTCGGCATTTAAAGTGTGTCAGGTTTTTTTATGAATGGGTTTTTTATGAATAAAATTGCAATTGTAGAAATAGTAGTAGTAGAAATAACATCAAGTAGTTTTAGTAACAGCAGCAGCTGCAATAGCGGCAGTAGAAGCAGCAGCAGTAATAAAAGCGGCCACAAACTGTAGTACTACTACTACTACTGTTTGTGGCCGTTGCCGCTACTACTACAACTACAAGTAGTAATAACCACAGTACTACTCAGTACTAAGAAAAAAATTCTTTTTCAAATTTTTTTTTGGAAATTTAAAGTGTTACAAAAATGTTGCCACTGCTAAACCTATTTCTCAAGTTAACCTTTGAAATTTACTTACACTGTTCGTCAGTATTTTGGGTTATATGGTATAATATGTATGGTAGGATATGAAACTGGTGCTCTAATTATGCTTGTGATTACAAAAGTCATTCGTTTAAAATAAATATATAAATATAAATATAAAAAGTAAAAAGACAATGACATCATCTTTGTCGTCATCATCGTCATCAAGTTTGAGATTGTAAAAATTGTGAATTACTCTTTCGAAGCAACGAAACGATGATGATGACGACGACGACGATGATAAGATATCAGTACTAGTAGTAGTATCTTTATAGGCACATGAATATTAATGTGGCGAGATAAAAAAAAAACTGTCGTAATTCCCAGAGTTATTTTTGTTAAATTTTTTTATTGTGTGAGTGAATGAAAGTTTTTTTATTTTTTTTTATTATTTATTTATTTACTTATTTATTTTTTTCCTCCTTATTATCATCGTCGTCGTCATCATCGTCTTCATGTTAAACATTCATCTTCATTATTCACACACTCCTCCTTCATTCATCACTATCTTTCTTTCCATCAGACTTCCTCATTCATGTAATCATCATCACCGTCTTTCTATCAAAACGCAAAACTATTTCTCTCTCTCCGATCTTTTATTCTTTTTCTCCAGTTCTCTCTCTTAATCTCTCACTCTCTCTCCTATCTTTTTTTCTATCTAGTATCTAGTTCTCTCTCTCTCTTTCTCTCCTATCTTTCTCTCCTATCTTTTTTTCTCTAGTTTACATTCTATCTTTTTTATTTTTTTCCCTCTAGTTTTCGTTCTCTCTCTCTCTCTCTCTTGCTTTCTTACGCGAGCCAGTAAAAATAGAAGTAAGAAAAAAAATTAACGAAGATTAATTGAAATAAAAAAAATTGGTGAGATAAGCAAGAAGATAGGGAGAGAAAGAGAGGAAGAGTAAAAAAGAGAAAAGGGGACAGAGAGAGAGAGAGAGAGAGAGAGAGAAAGAGAGAGAGAGAAGGAGAGTAAGATTGAGGTATTTAAAGAAAGGCAAAAACGCTCGGGCTTATGTGTTAACATTTTTTGTGTCATCTGCGTAAGATAAATTTTATTATATTTATATTTTATTGTTTGTTCATTCATTCTTTCTTTCTTTCATCATTCATCCCATTCATTCATTCATTCATCCCATTCATTCATTCATTTGTTTATTTTAATTATTTTAAAATCAACTAGTAATAGCTTTAACAAATTTAATTATTATTAATACTACCGCCACCACCACCACCACCACTACTACTACTACTACTACTACTACTACTACTACTACTACTACTACTACTACTACTACTACTACTACTACTACTACTATTTCTACTACTACTACAAATAAATATAACATTGAAAATGGTATAATAATAACAACAATAATAATATAAATTAATATAATAATTATATTAATAATAATGATTATTTATTACTGTCTTAATAGCATGCCTCGTGTGGTTCCAGACCAATTGGAGAAGTATGACAATGATGATTTCTTCAAGAAGATAAAAACCAACTGCGAGGTTTGCTATTAGTATTGTTGTTGTTGTTGTTGCTGTTGTAGTCGTTATTATTATTATTATTGCTATTGTTGTTTTAGTTATTGTTGTTGTTGTTGTTGTGTTATCTATTTATAACCTTCTCAAATACACCATCATTTTCATTAACTTTCATCCTCTTCACAATCATTTTCGTCATCATCTTCTTCTTCATCATCATCTTCTTCATCATCATCTTCTTCTTCATCATCATCTTCTTCATCATCATTTTCTTCTTCATCATCATCATCTTCTTCTTCTTCTTCTTCTTCTTCTTCTTCTTCTTCGTCATCATCATCGTCGTCGTCACCATCATCTTCATCATCATCATCATCAGATTCGCTACGTCGGAACGAAGGATGGAAATTTGGATGAGAAACGGCGCTCCCTGATCGAGTGTTGCAGGATGAAAAAGATTGAAATAGTAAGAATAAAAATAATATAATAATAATAATATTTATTATTATTTTTATTATTTCTTTTAGGTTTATATTTATATAATTAATAATTATTTTTAAAAAAATTTTCTCAAATATCACAAATATTGCTTAACAACGACAACAACAACAACAACAACAATGGGATTAAATTAACAAAAAACATCAATAACATCAACAGAAACATCAAAAACATTTACAATAACAACATCAATAACGTCATGAAAAAAAA